ATTTGAACTAATTTAATGAATAAAAACATTTATTGATCTAAAAAAAATAAAAATATTTAAATTATAAACAATAATGATTGTAAATTACTTCTCTTTCAAGTTATGTTTAAGATTTTACTAATTTGAAATATCCAAAAGTATTGACTCTTTTTGATACTACCATCTCAAATTAATGTATATATAATGGCTATTTGAAAAAATATTGTAATGTTTGAATTATATTGAATTACAAAACACTTACCATTGGATTGTGAATTGGCTCCGGAACCTTCCTCTTTATTTTCTGATATAATTTGAACTATATAATGCATAGAACATATTTGACTAGATTTGAATACTTTAGGCAGAGTAATATTTAAAAAAAAAAAAAAATCTGTAATGGGTTTGAAGCCGGATATTATTATTTTCTCAAAGGCCCAGGCCTGTCCATTGGAGGAAAACTAAACCAAGCGGGCCAAGCCTCAAAAGTCAAAATTTGATCCATTGGACGCCCAAAAACCAAACCGAGTATGCGGTCGGAGGCCCAATGACGATCCACAAGTAGCAGCAGCCAGCGACGCCAGGCGCGCATGAGAATGCGCATGCCGCATGGCGTCTTGAGTCTTCTACTGCTTCCGCAACAATGGCATCAATCCATCTCTCTCAATTTCATTTCTCTGATTCTGTTAATCTTCTGTGCTCAGATTGTGTTCTCTGATGTCATCTTTTTGCTTTCATTCTCGACTGTTTTGGACGAGTTTAGAACTGGTGTGTTCGGAGGAGGATGAGAATGGTTGCATTTCTGTTTTATAAACCGAATATACTGCCCAACATCAGCATTACCTTTTAGAATTTGTGGGTGTACGAGGAAGAGAGTGTTTGAATGATCCAAGAGTGGAAGTCGCTATCTTTGCAGCGAGAGTTTTAGGGGGCATTTCTTAGTTTTTTCAATGTGGGTATCCTGTTTCATCATTTTGTATATTGACTATTAGAAGATTCTTTCCATTTGATTTATACAAATTATGTTCCATCATTCTGAACATTGATTTCTAGAAACTTCTTTCCATTTGCTTTGTGACAACTCTGCTCCATTTATTCTCTATTTTGACTTGTAAGTAGCTTCTTTATATATGCATCATGACATTTTGTTCCATTTATTCTTGTTTTGACTTTTATGCATCAATGATTTCCAATTAAGAGACCTCTAGATTACCAACATAAATTTCTAATTTCCTGTGTTATATATATGGTATATCCAGAATTGCATAACATTGCCTTCACCCTTGGGTGGAAAATGGAACATGGAGTTGTAAATAAAACAGTGGATGCATTCATTTAGACATAACTGTGTGTAGATGATGTATACGAGGCTTCTTAATTTTTGTTTCGTCTTCTGTCTTTCTTGTTACCTCTCCCATTTAAGGCTTTCCTTTTTATTTTATTTTTGGAGCTTTAGTTGATGCTGTTTTTGTAGATTTCTTGATTTGTTTATCTGCTAAAGACCATTTTTTTCTGGCACATAAGTTGCACTAAGTTATTTGTTGAGTGAAAGTCACGTCAAGGTGTCTCCTGCCATTTTATGTATATGTAATTCTTTGATTTGTTACTCCACTCTCAGGTTCACAGGTGTAGGTGCTCCACTAGACTCAGGCAATTGCTTTGGTAAGCCCTGAATGGAATAGTGGACTGGCAATCTGGCATGGTGTTCACTTGTTGACTTGGCTTACCAAAATGGCAAATAGTGTGCATGTCTGGATTATGGTGACTTTCGAATTTATAGTTTCTAAAGTATTTAACCTTTAGAATAATATCCCTAAAAAGATAGAATCATTCTTTATCATTTCCAAGAGCATTGATTTGCATTTTCTAGATGTAGCTTATATGATGTTTTCATGTTTTACAATTAAATCATATCCCCCTAGCTACCCCAAACCAAGAAAGAGAAGAAAAAAAAAAAAAAAAGGAAAAGTGAGCAAGAGAAGGGTTTTTTTTTTTTTGCCTTAAGGGCACATGTTAACAGGCATCATCTGATGCTTTCTGTTTGCATTCGCTATGTATTGGAAAAGGTAAGAGTAGACTTTGGTTTTATCAGTCAATGCCATGTGAATGATTATAATTGCTCAATTGATAAAATTAATGTCTAACCTTGCATTTTCAGTATAGAATAAATGCAAAAGGAAGCATTAGATTCTCCTTCACCAGTGCCAAGGACCCAAAACCCAAAGAAATAAACACGTGGAAATATTGTAATTTTGAAATTGATGATCATTTTTATTTTCTTCAGATTCTATGTAGATGCTCTCTCAACCCTCCTTTTAGCCAAGCGTTTGACAGCTTCAAGCCACTTAATTTTTGTTGCCTCCACGTATGAAGGGACTTGCATACTGAGATTGTGTCTAGGATCTGACTACTAAGAAAGAGGTATTTTATGATACCAACCATATGGAAGCATTATGTTCCATTGCAATTATCTTTGTATCTCTTTTCTGTTACTTTTACCCTTATTTTTATTTTATTTTTCTGTTGCATGAATACTTGCATTTATCAAATGGAGGGAAATTCTGCCATAATGGGTCTAGCTATAACTAAATGTACTTGCAGCAGAGAAAAGTGGAGAAAAAGAGCTTTTGGATCCTACAGTAAAATGCAAAATCCGCTAGTCTGGAATTTCTCCTCATTCTTCTCTTGATTTTGCTCTGAGGAGAATGAATCATGGAATTTATTACTTATTAGAGATATTAGGTTTTGATGCATCATAAAGTATTAGGTGCCTACTCGGCCAAACAAGACAAATGTGCTTCTTTATACCGTCTTCCCTTCTCTATAATTGTAGTTGTATGTGCGTGCATATATGTGTACTTGCAGAATTTGTTAAATAATTGATTTTTTCATTTCATTCCTTGTTCTTTCTGTGCTGTGGTAGCTATAATGAATGAATAGAAGAGGATGTGCCCATATGATGTTCATATATTGTCTTCCAATGATGTCTTAGATGTCCTAAAATTGTCTGACTTAGAATGAACTTTTCCAAAATATGGACGCGGCTTAGATGTATATATTAGTGTTAGATTCTGCTGGTGCACCAGTAGAACTGATGCCATCGCTGAGCTTTTCCATTCCATCAGGGTACTATTATGTCCTCTTCTTAAGTTTTGGCTGATGTTTAGATGAATAATTAGTATGTACAGACTGCACTTTCAGGCATTTGGTAAAATTGTTAAGCTTCCTTAAGCTTAATACTTCTTATTAATTCTATCTTCCTTCAGTTCCTTTATCCATACGATCAATTATTGCTGCCTAGCACCTTAGGTGTTGAGAATCAGATTTTTACACCTTTACTTCTACAATCATTATGGTCACAGCATCACTGTCATAACACACTTCTACTCTAATGCTCTACTTTTCCCAGTAGTGGCCCATGTTCTGAAACTATAACCCATACCAATAATCCTTGGCAAATCAAAATTTTGGCGGCCAGGCTAGTGTCGTTAGTTGACTGCTGCTATGACATTCTTCATGTGGGTACTATGATAAAAATTCCTCCTTTTAGTACAGTTTATTTGATTTGAAAGAATATAGTGGAAGCACCCTCAGCTTCCATCGGTTTTATGCTTGATTATTGGATGAACATATTTTATTTTTCATGTGATTTATCTTTTTCAATCTGGGGCACGTTTGATGGCCAAAAATGAAAATCAAGAGCAGGTTTCAGTGTCTTATGGGAAATTTCCTTTCTCTTTGCCTGGTACCTGAATAAGTCCATCTCTCTTGCATTTGCCTAAAATGGATTTCAGGGTTGCTTGAAAAAATGGCAGTGTCTTGAAAATATTTATTCATTAAATTATTGGATTAATTAAAAGCTACCAAGAAGACAATGTGTATCATATGTGTACCCATTAAAACCCTTTTTTTAAAGAATGAACACATTGGTAATTCTCCTTACATTGTACTGTTATATTTGGTGTTAGTTTGAAAAGCATCATTATTTAATTGTGGTGATTTCTTTATTTTCATGTCAAAGGGAAGGTTTTGTTCAGTTGACTTAACTGATTGGCTGTCCCTTTCATACCAGCCAATTTTAATTGATTTGCAGCCACAAGTCTTTGACCTGCTTCTAGCATTGCTCACCCATCTAGGATTTGGGAGAATTCTACCATGTTGTTACTGGTTCATTTGGCTGAAATTTTTTCCAAAAAATTTCTTTTGCTTATAAGTTTTAACAGATAATTGCAGTGGATGGGGAAATGCATATATCACAAGCACAACTTCAAACTGTACACAAGTTTAGAATTAAGTATTAACACTAGACTTCTTTTCAGTGGTATGGTGGCCCCTGGTCTGTTAGCTCAAATGGAAGCCTTTCCAGCACTAACATCCATATGGCATAGGGCTAAATTTTAGCTAGTACATAATATGGTCAACAAAAAATTTACTTCAGTTGTTCACCTATAGTTGTGTATCAAACCTTCAGGTTCTAGAGGTCCTATGTTCACAATGGTTTCTTGCACCAGTGGAGGAGCTTCTGATGAGCTAGCTTGGCTACAACCAACAATCTTTTGGCATGTCCCTATGAGGCAGTGCCGGCATGTAGGGCAAGATGAGTGTGAGCTGAGCCACTTATCAATACACCGGACATGGAATCCGTGGTTGCACTTGGGTAAAAGCCTTACTCGTTCGCCAGGAGTGAATTCTGATAGACATATGGCACACTCTGAATCCAAGCCGGGCAGCTTCAGATCAGCAGAGTAGTTTACTGTTGGAAAAGTTTTCAAAGCTTTTCGCTTGACACCTGTGTTGGCTAGATGAGCTGATGGGTCTGTACCTGACTCGATGCCTACTAATCTTGAGCACCTTAATGCACACCTAATGATGGAATTTAGTCCCAGTGAGCAAATTAGGGCACACAAGAGGACTGAAAGAACCATAATGACATTTGCATCAAAGCTGTTGTCACCAGTGTAAGGATCTGAGGAATTGTGGTTGTTTCCAGGGGCTGGGGGAGCTGCTGTCAGTGGTGTTTGGTAGTTGTGGAGTAGCAGCCTTCTACTGTACAAGTCTGCAAGCAGACCTTGAAGTAGTTGAGTGGATGTGGAAGCAGACATGGTTGGTAGAATTTCGGTTCTTGGAGTTTGAAACTTCTTGGAGTTGGCTGCGCAAGGGGACTATTTATAGGGAAAGGTAATGAGTTGAATTTTCTTTTTGAGGCCTATCATGTGATTATATTTATATTGATTTTATGAATTATGTTGAGAATATTCTAGTGGGTTTTTAGTCTACACTACTACAGCACAGCTTTATCTTTATTTTTAGTCATGTTGATCCTCCACTGAACTTGATGTACCTCCTATGAGCTTTCTTATCAAATTGTGTCTCTCCCACCTTCTTCTGTACAGTCGATGCCACCTGGAGGTTGCATTTCATAAATCATATCTTGAAATGCTCTATACGCCCCATTAGCTGAAAGAAGAGCCATGATTCATTCCTGTCTAGATAACTAGGATATAATATGATTCTAAATTTATTTTATTTTTCTTTTGACCATCAACATAGATTTTCTTAATTGATTTAAGTGGGCGTTTTACACTTTCTAGGATAGAGATTTTGTTTTCTAAATCTAATTTCCTTTTTCTTCCGATATTAAGTGAAGCATACTCCAAAAATATAATAAAGTAAGATACATGCCAAAGTATTGTCGAGTCAGACTCAACTATAGTTGGTGATCCTGGAATAAAGCCTAGTCAACCTCATGGTAAATCTGGTAGCTTGTGAAATTCATTGTGTATTTCTTTTCCTTTACAAGCTTGTAGCCTTGTAGCCTCTTGCCTCCTAACTTTTTCCATCTCAAGGTCAACTACATGGTCTGTCTTCTATAGCAATTTTTTATTTCCTTCTATCACCTTGTCTGAGATGTTCATTTTTACTGGTCTTTTGGGTGCATGTAATCAGTAATACTACAAACTGAATAAATAATAGTGGTACTGAACATATGCATTTATGCTGTTGAGAATTTGCGAAATATCTAGTGGTTCAGAAACAGGCAGAACTTCTTAGCTTCAAGTGGAATGACTGCCGTCAAACAAACAGTACTTTCTTAACCAATGATTATGTGGGACTGTTCATTGATTTCTCCTTTTAGTAAGATTTTATATTAGGCATCAGATGGACTTATTGAGTGCTATTTGTGTTTCTATAGTTTTGCAGATAACTTAAAGAGGAATAGATAAAAACACAACTGATCTGGAATACACAACACTCCCATCTGTAAACCACTCTTCAACGTAACTGCTATCATCTTTAATTTGTTGTGTCATTTTCATTACTATTCATACTAACAGTTGCTTTCATATCTTACTATTGTTTATATGGTCTAGTGGCACAAATTAATTTCCTTTTATTAGCCATCTAATAAAAAATGAGATTTGAAAAAGGGTCCCTTTAGATTCCTTCTCTTGTTCTTTCTAAGCTGTGATCTTTCTGCCATGCAAGTAGCTGGTTACAATCTAACTGAATCCAATATATTACTGCTTATGGCTCTAAATTGCGGCGACATTCTTATGAGTTCTTTGGTGTAGTGTTCTGCTAATATTAAAAGTCAAATTGGTAATTGATGTAGGCGTCATAAGGTTAACACAGATTATCAGAATCCATATGTAACAATTTTGTCATCAAAAGTTTTGTACAACAAATAAACTAATCCGAGGATGCATGTTATAGGATTAACTACAACTGGGGGTGGATTATTTATTTAGATTTATGTACTAAAAGTTTGAGACAAGTAGGGATACTCCTTTTTCACTCCCTCAATCTATAGACTGTTGGAGTGGGAGATCAGAGGAAGGCTTATCCCATTGAGATGCTTCTGTCTTGTACTAGCAGCACCCTTTGGATCCATATCTTTTGGGCTGGATTTCACTAGGCTGATTTCTATCTGTGGACCCCTTTGGAGGTTGCTAAATAAACGTGATCCACGTACCACTGCCTTAGTGGGGTAGCTGGGAGTATCATGTCTGTTATCTTTTACTATGATTGATTATCTTCTTCATGATAATGGTGTGAAAACATAACAAGTGGGGAATCATTATTAATTATTGGAGAGTTTTTTGCTAATTCATTTTTTAGTATAGAATATTTGAATAAATGCTATTACAAGGATGTTAATTTTAGATAAAAGTGTATTTTGTCTAGCATAAGTCTTGGGGAAGAGAAGGTAAATTAGATAACAAATTTTCTGATAATTAGTGGGAAACAAATTGCAGGGAAAGTGAAGAAAAGGGATATTAAAAAAAATGAAGGCTAGAGGGAAACAAAGCATAAAGGCCAAAAGAATTGCCAATCACCTGAATGTTTTGAGGGCAAGAGGCCTTTTTAAATCCTTTCATTTGCAATGAAAACTACCCCTCCATTACAAACTAGAGAAAACGCACGTGCAAGGCACTGTACAGTTGTTGTGGAAAGATCTCCCTAATTGTGTCAAATTGAAATTGGAATTAAAGGGAAACGAGAAAGAAGACACTGCTTAAAAAGTTGCCACCAATAAACTGCCTTCATATGGCGGCCTCATCTGTCTTTCTTAGGAAATGTAGTGAGTTCCACATTACTAATTTAGTGGTGTGACAGGCTTGCACTTGTTTGGGAACTAATTTTATGCTTTAACGACTTGGATTGGGTAGGTTAATTGGTCTTAGTTTCCAATAGATCTTTGTACAATATGGTAAAAGAATCACTTGAATTCTTGCGTGGTCCTGTATTTGAACCTCTTCCTCCCAATTTAGGTGCGTAAATTTCTCAACTATATCAAACTGTTGCTGTTTGTCTTGCTTTGTTTTTCAGTATTATATTTGATCATAATGAGCGCAAGGCCCCTTGAGGCCAAGGAAAATAAATAGAAGAAGGGATGTTGAGACACATGTTAAGTGTTTTGCCTTTAATTGCTTTAGCTTATCTTTCGTAACAAGGTAAAGTGCCTCAAAATAATTTTGTTTATTCCATGATGGAGCAGTGATTTCTATCTTTAAATAAAGGTTGCTTTTTAGTAATGCTTCTCTGCATATACATTGCACATTTCCGTTGTTCAGAATTAATGGTATTATTGGCTGAATGTTATTGATCCAATTAGGTGAGTTTGCTTTCTAGAGTTTCTGATCAGGTTTTAAAGGCAATGAATTGTTACTGCTCCAACTACTTTGGCAATTTCGTTAGTGCACAACATAGGCAATAGAAAATAAAGGTGCATGCTAAGAAGCAACAAGAATCGGGTTGAATCTGACCCTACCACAACTGAACCCTTGATATAGGTTAGAATGACCAAACCCAGTTGTAGTTCTTTCTCTTTTTGCCTTAAATAAATAGTAAAATACAAGAGAAACGTTACAGGAATTTTATACAAGAAGCTACTGCAACATTTTCTCGCAGACTTTACCATAGTTATATTGATACTAATACCTGCCTACGCTATTCTAAATTATGCATATGTGCTAACTTGATTAACCGCTGTGCTTCCTTGCCCAGGAGGAGAAGCCTCGTCACAGTGAACAATCTTCTGACTTGGTTTGGTCAGGCAGTGCCTGCAAGTAGGGCACGAGGAACTTGATCTGAGCCATTTGTCGATGCAACAAATATGGAATCCATGGTTGCACTTGGGAAGAACCCTGAGACTGTCCCCAACTGCAAACTCGGACAAGCATATAGCACATGACTTGTCCAAGCCTGGCAGCATCAACTTGTCTGTGTATTTCACTACTTGGAAAGACTTCAGTGTTTTCTGCTTCACTCCTGTATTTGCTGACTTACTTGACTGGTCAGCGCCAGACCCAGCAGCAGATCTCATTAAAGTAGAGCATTGTAATGCACACTTGATCACACAAAAGAATCCTAGAGAGCAAATTACTGCACATACAAGGACAGAGAGGACAATGATAATATTTGTGTCAATATCATCTTCCCTGGACGGAGGAATTGCAGGGGCTAAAAGGTTAATGTCAAGGAGAATTCTTCTTGATTGGATGTGAGCAAGTGATTCAGGGGTGGATGTGGAAGACATTGGCATGTTTTTTTTGATGTTTGTGAATTGTGAGGGTCTTGAGACTGTGAGGTTTAGAGGAGGGGGTTATATATAGAAAGAACTACAAGTTGGGTCTGATGCAGCAGATGATCTGAATATCATAATATGAGATATGGTAATGTTGGGAAGAATATTTGAGAATATTTGTTGGGAATGATGAGCGTCAAACCCACGTCAGGGTTTTTGTCTTGATAAGCCTGATGGTTGGTGTTTGGTCTGTATTTTAGTAGACTTCCAAATGGGAAGAGGTGCAAGATCAATCTCACTAATCACTTCCTACATTACATAAAATGCCACTTGGCAGTTCCCATTTGATAATTCCTCTCCAGATATTTTGAGGTCAAGGGTGCATTTGTCAAGAAGACCGAAAACTAAAAAAAAAAAAAAAATGGAGGACGAAGAATCCATTTGTCTAGATCTAGAAGGCCTTATAGAATCATTGTTTCAAGTCAATGGTATGATTGGCTATAGAGGTGAGCATTTTCAGCATATATAAGATATGAAATATATTTAATATTTAATTTGAAAATTTTTTAGTTCAAATTTTTAAATATGGTATTTATCTAAATATTTGAAATTTTATATTTGGTATTTAACCAATAGGTATTAGATAACTTCTAGATATATACTTATAGGAAAATGATTTGAGGATAATCTTTTTATATAATCTTATGTGTGATTTAAATGATTGATTCTTTTTATTCATTTGATGAGATCCGTAATATTGAATAGATTCACTTATTTAATAATATATGAAAGTTATATAAAAAAATCATACAAAAAGGTTGTCTTATATTATCACCCATATTTATATATTTGTTGAATGATATTTTGCTTTAAATTTTTAAAAAATAAAAATTTATTAAAATATTATTTGCTTTTAATCTACACTTAAATAAAATTAGTAAAAATTTAATAAAATATTATTTATTATAATCTAAACTTAAATATAATCT